GGAGTCGGGCAACTATAGGCCAGTAAGCCTTACTTCAGTAGTGGGGAAAGTGATGGAAACCATGTTAATGGATAGGATTGTTGAACATCTAAAAACACATGGATTTCAAGATCAGAGATAACATGGGTTTACTTCAGGGAGATCATGCCAAACTAATCTTATTGATTTTTTGATTGGGTAACTAAAATAATAGATCAGGGTGGTGCAGTAGACATTGCTTACCTAGATTTCAGTAAGGCTTTTGACACTGTTGCACATAGAAGGCTTATCAATAAACTGCAATCTTTAAGTTTGGATTCAAACATTGTTGAATGGGTAAGGCAGTGGCTGAGTGACAGGCAACAGAGGGTTGTAGTTAATGGAATATATTCGAAGCTTGGACTTGTCACTAGTGGGGTACCTCAGGGATCTGTACTTGACCCATTCTCTTTAATATTTTTATTAGTGATATTGCAGAAGGTCTTGATGGTAAGGTATGTCTTTTGCTGATGATACTAAGATATGTAACAGGGTTGATGTTCCAGGAGGGATAAGCCAAATGACAAATGATTTAGGTAAACTAGAAAAATGGTCAGAATTGTGGTAACTGACATTTAATGTGGATAAGTGCAAGATAATGCATCTTGGACGTAAAAACCCAAGGGCAGAGTACAGAATATTTGATAGAGTTCTAACCTCAACATATGAGGAAAAGGATTTAGGGGTGATTATTTCTGATGACTTAAAGGTAGGCAGACAATGTAATAGAGCAGCAGGAAATGCTAGCAGAATGTTTGGTTGTATAGGGAGAGGTATTAGCAGTAGAAAGAGGGAAGTGCTCATGCCATTGTACAGAACACTGGTGAGACCTCACTTGGAGTATTGTACACAGTACTGAGACCGTATCTTCAGAAGGATATTGATACCTTAGAGAGGGTTCAGAGAAGGGCTACTAAACTGGTTCATGGATTGCGGGATAAAACTTACCAGGAAAGGTTAAAGGATCTTAACATGTATAGCTTGAGGAAAGACGAGACAGGGGGGATATGATAGAAACATTTAAATATATAAAGGGAATCAACACAGTAAAGGAGGAGACTATATTTAAAAGAAGAAAAACTACCACAACAAGAGGACATAGTCTTAAATTAGAGGGACAAAGGTTTAAAATAATATCAGGAAGTATTACTTTACTGAGAGGGTAGTGGATGCATGGAATAGCCTTCCAGCCGAAGTGGTAGAGGTTAACACAGTAAAGGAGTTTAAGCATGCGTGGGATAGGCATAAGGCTATCCTAACTATAAGATAAGACTAGGGACTAATGAAAGTATTTAGAAAATTGGGCAGACTAGATGGGCCGAATGGTTCTTATCTGCCGTCACATTCTATGTTTCTATGTTTCTATGTTACTAAACTCCATTATCTACAAACACAAAAACACATTTTTACAAAACCCCCCAAACACCTTATAACACATAAAATCCCAACACAAAAATCACCCAGATCAGTTCAGGGGTTCAGAAATTTTATGGAAGTTATAGTTTTGACCGACCGCAGGCATGGTCCCATAGCCGGAAATAGTTCCAGAGAATCAGTGCTTGCAGCCGCTCTAGTTCAGTAGTTTGAAAATGAACAAACTACTGAACAGAGTCAACGTTCTTACCCTGGAACTTGTTCCCTTCATCCAGACGAATTATCCCACCAACAGTGCCTAAGTTGTATAGAACCGAATGCAGGCGATGATGGAAGTCCAGCGTTGTTTAGGAGTTTCTGTATCTTATTTTAATTCCAGGAGATTCATGCCCAAACACCGCTGCCTGCATTCATGCGAACAAGATGGCCGCCACCTCATAGTTGTCCATAGGAATTGCGGCCACCCAGACGGACAATTAGAACACTGCGGTGAGAAATGTTCCAAGGTGTCAATTGGTGTTTGTGACGGACCCTCCGTCAATCGATGCTCCTAGTGCTTACCAAGGACCATCAGCAAGCACCAGACACCATAAGCACTGCAGACCCCATGAACCACCACAGCTTGGTTGGGGTCTCGCTGTCTCCTAGCCACCCTGGACCTTCGACAAGGCTCCAGGCTCCAGTGGGTGAACCTCTCTTCCTTCAGAGAGCGAAGCAGGAACAACTCTTAGAAGAGCTAGTGATTAGAACCCAGGGGAGTATACAGAGTATAGCAATCCCCAGTGTGATTACAGCAGTTCCCAACAACATGAGACGAGGCTGCGAGATGAGGGTAAGAAGGTCTGAGAGTTTAATGGCACAGGTTGGATTTTTAAACAGTTTTTTCAGGCCAGAGGCACACCCACTGGACCTGATGGGTAACAGGGACACAAAGGACATAAACCAATGAAAACAGTAATTAACAGTACGACACTCCACGTAATCCCTCCCCTCTGCCTGCCCAGTAATGTGTCTGAGTGTATAACAGAGCTCCACAGCAATAATACTCCCAGTAATGTGTCTGAGTGTATAACAGAGCTCCACAGCAATAATACTCCCAGTAATGTGTCTGTGTGTGTAACAGATCTCCACAGTAATAATACTCCCAGTAATGTGTCTGAGTGTATAACAGAGCTCCACAGTAATAATATTCCCAGTAATGTGTCTGAGTGTATAACAGAGCTCCACAGTAATAATACTCCCAGTAATGTGTCTGAGTGTATAACAGAGCTCCACAGCAATAATACTCCCAGTAATGTGTCTGAGTGTATAACAGAGCTCCACAGCAATAATATTCCCAGTAATGTGTCTGAGTGTATAACAGATCTCCACATCAATAATACTCCCAGTAATGTTTCTGAGTGTATAACAGAGCTCCACAGTAATAACACTCCCAGTAATGTGTCTGAGTGTATAACAGAGCTCCACAGCAATAATACTCCCAGTAATGTGTCTGGGTGTATAACAGAGCTCCACAGCAATAATACTCCCAGTAATGTGTCTGAGTGTATAACAGAGCTCCACAGCAATAATACTCCCAGTAATGTGTCTGGGTGTATAACAGAGCTCCACAGCAATAATACTCCCAGTAATGTGTCTGGGTGTATAACAGAGCTCCACAGCAATAATACTCCCAGTAATGTGTCTGGGTGTATAACAGAGCTCCACAGCAATAATACTCCCAGTAATGTGTCTGGGTGTATAACAGAGCTCCACAGCAATAACACTCCCAGTAATGTGTCTGAGTGTATAACAGAGCCCCACAGCAATAATACTTCCAGTAATGTGTCTGAGTGTATAACAGAGCTCCACAGCAATAATACTCCCAGTAATGTGTCTGAGTGTATAACAGAGCTCCAAAGCAATAATACTCCCAGTAATGTGTCTAAGTGTATAACAGAGCTCCACAGCAATAATACTCCCAGTAATGTGTCTGAGTGTATAACAGAGCTCCACAGTAATAATACTCCCAGTAATGTGTCTGAGTGTATAACATAGCTCCACAGCAATAATACCCCTAGTAATGTGTCTGAGCATATAACAGAGCCCCACAGCAATAATACTCCCAGTAATGTGTCTGAGTGTATAACAGAGCTCCACAGCAATAATACCCCAGTAATGTGTCTGAGTGTATAACAGAGCTCCACAGCAATAATACTCCCAGTAATGTGTCTGAGTGTATAACAGAGCTCCACAGCAATAATACTCCCAGTAATGTGTCTGTATAACAGAGCTCCACAGCAATAATACTCCCAGTAATGTGTCTGAGTGTATAACAGAGCTCCACAGCAATAATATTCCCAGTAATGTGTCTGAGTGTATAACAGAGCTCCACAGCAATAATACTCCCAGTAATGTGTCTGAGTGTATAACAGAGCTCCACAGCAATAATACTCCCAGTAATGTGTCTGACTGTATAACAGAGCTCCACAGCAATAATACTCCCAGTAATGTGTCTGAGTGTATAACGGAGCTCCACAGCAATAATACTCTCAGTAATGTGTCTGAGTGTATAACAGAGCTCCACAGCAATAATACTCCCAGTAATGTGTCTGTGTGTATAACAGAGCTCCACAGCGATAATACTCACAGTAATGTGTCTGGGTGTAAAACAGAGCCCCACAGTAATAATACTCCCAGTAATGTGTCTGAATGTATAACAGAGCTCCACAGTAATAATACTCCCAGTAATGTGTCTGAGTGTATAACAGAGCTCCACAGCAATAATACTCCCAGTAATGTGTCTGAGTGTATAACAGAGCTCCACAGCAATAACACTCCCAGTAATGTGTCTGAGTGTATAACAGAGCTCCACAGCGATAATACTCCCAGTAATGTGTCTGAGTGTATAACAGAGCTCCACAGTCATAATACTCCCAGTAATGTGTCTGAGTGTATAACAGAGCTCCACAGTAATAATACTACCAGTAATGTGCCTGAGTGTATAACAGTAGAACAGAATCACAGGCACTCTAGTTGTGTAAGCCGCAGGCAGATTTATTATCACAAAATGAGTAGAAGCAGCAACGTTTTGACCAAACAGGTCTTTGTCAAGCAGAGCCAGCACAAGTCTAACACAGCCCTGGCCAATCAGCATCTCCTCATAGAGATGAATTGAATCAATGTATCTCTATGAGGAAAGTTCACAGTCTGCATGCAGAGGGAGGAGATACTGAATGTCAGTCACAATGTGCAGCACTGCCCCAGCAAGCACCTCTAGTAGTCATCTGAGGAGTGGCCAGTGAAGCTATCCCTAGGCTGTAATGTAAACACTGCATTTTCTCTGAAAAGACAGTGTTAACAGCAAAAAGCCTGAAGGTAATGATTCTACTCACCAGAACAAATTCAATAAGCTGTAGTTGTTCTGGTGACTATAGTGTCCCTTTAATGTAGGTAAAGATGGGGTGTAAACATATAATGCATTGAAGGTACGTACGAGGTTATTAATTAAAGAAACATGCTACAGTTTAAAGAAATACAATTTAGCAATATGTATTATACCTATGATTGCCTATCACAATCGTAAGTTGCCTAAAAGTTCTAAGAGCAGCGCCGCCTCTGGCCACACCCACTCACACCCCTAAAATTAAAGAGTCTCTCTTTGTCCATGTGAAACGTTGGGAGGTATGTATATTTAATGGCTACTAAGGGATGTCTTCTATTGCTAACTGAGACTGCCAGTGTGTCATTTTACAACGGGCACATTGCAATACCTATAAATATATATAAATAATTAGCTACATTTATCTCTGTTATAATCTAAAACAGATTTGACCATGAAATACTTAGGTGAAAAGTAATGATATACATTAAGGTTACAATGCAGCCCAGTGGATTCCTTTGACGTATGTTGTCGTTCAACGTTATTGTTTGCAGAACTTGTTTTGTTACGTTTGTCTCTGATCACATGTTCATAGATTGGGGAGAAGCAATCTAACCTTTCTTTAATTATTATATTTCACTAAACTGTATTGTAACCTGCCTGTTTAAACATATTCATTAAATAAAGCCAAAGAAATAAACCACCATTTAATAATGTTCCCTTGCTGATGTGTTTCAATGTTTTATATAGGTTTAAAATAAAACCATAAGCTGCAGTCGGATATAATGATTCATTATACATAACAGAAATAAGAACACATATAATTATTGTTTAGATACATATTTATTACATAGATATATAGATAGTGTGACGAAAGTAACCTGGCCACTGGGTCTTGGAGGGGCCTGCTTGCCAGCCTCTTGGCCCATGACTGTGGCCCGTGTGTTATACCTCGGTTCAGGACCGTGGCCCGTGTGTTATACCTTGGTTCAGGACTGTGGCCCATGTGTTATGGCTTGGTTCAGGACTGTGGCCCGTGTGTTATGGCTTGGTTCAGGACTGTGGCCCGTGTGTTATGGCTTGGTTCAGGACTGTGGCCCGTGTGTTATACCTTGGTTCAGGACTGTGGCCCGTGTGTTATACCTTGGTTCAGGACGTGTGTTATACCTTATGACTGTGGCCCGTGTGTTATACCTGGTTCAGGACTGTGGCCCATGTGTTATGGGTTGGTTCAGGACTGTGGCCCAGGACTGTGGCCCGTGTGTTATGGCTTGGTTCAGGACTGTGGCCCGTGTGTTATGGCTTGGTTCAGGACTGTGGCCCGTGTGTTATGGCTTGGTTCAGGACTGTGGCCCGTGTGTTATACCTTGGTTCAGGACTGTGGCCCGTGTGTTATACCTTGGTTCAGGACTGTGGCCCGTGTGTTATACCTTGGTTCAGGACTTTGGAAAAGCTTTTTTCATGCCTTTTTTTTCCTTATAATTCAGTATATGGGGCTTACCGAATGGATAATATTGCGTTCGTATATCGAATAAACAACCAAACAGTCGGACCACCCGCAAGTGGAGAGTACAGCCTATTAACCTCCCACACTTATGGTTAACCACAGCTTAATTGGCGAACAGCTGGGTGTTCGTCATTCGTATGTACGAACAAGTGGCGGCGGCCATCTTGTTTTGTTAAAATGTGACTTTCATAAAAATCTTGAACCCCTGAACCGATCTGGGTGATCTTTGGGTATGTTAGTCACCCAGATCGGGGCTATCAGGAGATATAACTTTTATGGGGTTTCCATGGGTTTTAGGGGTACTTTAAGGGTACTGTTGAAATGTGTGTTAATTGAATTAGATTAGTACAGTTCCTGATCCAATTATTATAGAGGGGGGATTATCTGGTTATGTATGGGAGTGTCCTGGACCTGAGAGCCAATGCAGTTGTGTGTATGTTTTTACTGTAGTCTACTCTCAAGTCCAGGGGGGAGTTCCCCTTGCATGGGGATTGTCATAGAAGTGCAACTGTGGCTGCCATTAAGCAGATCCTCTCACCCCTTCATAAAGTCTAGGCTCATGTTTGGGGGATTGGAGAGCTATATTCACACTCTGGGGATTGCTATAATCACTATACTCCCTTGTATCACAACACTTGCTTATATAAGAGCAGCCTGCTTCACTCTCTGTACTAGGAGAAGTCTACCCAATGGAAGACGGATCCTGGTCTTGGGTTCAGGGTGGGTGAAGGACAGCGAGACCCCAACCAAGCTGCAGCGATTTGTGGGGTTTACGGTGGTTATGGTGTTCCAGTGCAGTACTAGGAAGCAGCGATTGATGGAGGTACCCGGTCAGGTTGCAGGCGATCCATCACAGATAGATACATAGATACTGTATAGATAGATAGCTATTATATAGATAGATACTGTATAGATAGATAGCTATTATATAGATAGATACTGTATAGATAGATAGATAGATACTGTATAGATAGATAGATAGATAGATAGATAGATAGATAGATAGATACTGTATAGATAGATAGATATTATATAGAAAGATACTGTATAGATAGATAGATAGATACTGGATAGATAGATAGATAGATAGATAGATAGATAGATACTGTATAGATAGATAGATAGATAGATAGATAGATAGATACTGTATAGATAGATAGATATTATATAGAAAGATACTGTATAGATAGATAGATAGATACTGGATAGATAGATAGATAGATAGATAGATAGATAGATAGATAGATAGATAGATACTGTATAGATAGATAGATAGATAGATAGATAGACATGCAGACAGAGATGGAGATATCTGTTATTATTTCTTCGTATACATTTTTCTATCAAGGCGCTATGTGCAATATTTACAACCAATCATTCTGTAGGAAATTGTGGGGGTTAGTTTAGACATCTTTCTGCAAAGTGTAGTAGATGCTTTATTATGCTGATAATAAGGTGTTTAAAATGCATTAATTTTCAAAGCTAGAAGTGATTATGGTTATTTTACTGGCTGGGGATATTTTAACTGGTTTATTTTGAAGGACGAGACCTGGGTGGTTCTGAAAGCTCACACTCTAATTCTTTATTGGTCAATAGATGTTTTACATTGAGTCGAGAATTTTTGCCACAATTATTACTGGATGGAGCACGTGGAATCCTTGCTTGCATTATGCTTTCTTTGCCTTTCTAGATCTTCCGCCATTCTTTTTCTTTCTTCTTCAAATTCCTGGTTTCTCTTCTCATCATCTGTCCCCTTGATGTATTTAAGAATAAACTTCATCCTGTCTTTCCTTTCACTTTTTGGATTCCTCTGCTTTTCCATGTAGAAATTGACTTCTTCCAGAACCTGGCAGAGAAAAGACAGAATCTCCTTGTGTTTTCCCAGCAATTCTTGTTTATTTTCTGAGGTGTAATTTTCAATAGCGTAGATCTTATCGGATCCCAGGTCTTCAAACATTTTACGCACCTCATTTAGATTGCCGGAGGTTTTATGAGTTAGAATAACTAGGGGGTTGATACCTGGAGAAACAAAATACGTGGCAGTTTTAGTGTCATAGAAATAGGAGGAAATATGTTACAAAATGTACTGCACAGACAAGGGGTAGTTTATAAATAGAAACATAGAATGTGACGGCAGATAAGAACCATTCGTCCCATCTAGTCTGCCCAATTTTCTAAATACTTTCATTAGTCCCTGGCCTTATGTTATATTGGTAAAGTTTCATTTAACCCATTAAGGACCGAGGACGGTTCAGGAACGTCATCAGCATTTTTCCATTGCCGACCGCTGACGGTTCTGAACCGTCCTAACAGTCTTAGCTACTTGCCCAATCGCCGTCGTTCCCCCGGCAGCAATTGGCGGTGCTCCCAGTGTGGGGAGACTGCCTGCAGCCCAGACAGTCTCCCAACACCGGATTAGGACCCCTGGAGCCATGTGATTGCTCAACACAGCGATGACATAGTCACAATAGGTGTCCATGTGTCTGCCTGCAGGAGGACTGCCTGTGCCAGGCAGTCTCCCTGCTAGTGTAAAATCATTAAAAAAATAAATAAAGTTAATGTTAATGTATATATATATATATATAATGTCATACTAAGTGTATTGTATGTTAATATGTCCATATATTAATATAAAAATACACTTATAATTCAATTGCACACATATATATATAATATATATAATAACTATATATTGTATATATATATATATATATATATATATATATATACATATATATATATATATATATTATAATAAAATACAAATAATAAGTAATTTAATTTTAATTAAAAATGTAAAAATAATAATAATTTTTAAAAAAATTGTATATATTTATATGAAATATTATTTTAACTGTATTTTGATATATATATATATAATATATATATATATATTTATATCAAAATACACTTAGAATGAAATTGTATATATAAATAAATAAAAATAATACGAAATATACATATGTCCATATACAAAAGTACATAAATAATTATATAAATATACACGTACACTTCATATATACATATTTAAATTCTTTGTGCATATTTATGTAATATTTTTACATAATTCAGCAATTTTATTGATTGCAATTTTAGGGACCTGCCTGCCAACCCAGGCTGAAAGTCCAGAGAATTTAATTTGCTAGCATTGTGTTTTACCCTGTAATGTTCTACGACACCCTAAAACCTGTAAATGGGGGGTACTGTTTTACTCGGAAGACTTTGCTGAACACAAATATTAGTGATTCAAAACAGTAAAACATATCACAGCGATGATATTGTCAGTGAAAGTAACTTTTTTTGCATTTTTCACACACAAACAGCACTTTTACTGATGATATAATTGTTGTGATACGTTTTCCAGTTTTTAAACACTAATATTTGTGTTCAGCGATGTCTCCCGAGTAAAACAGTACCCCCCATGTACAGGTTTTATAGCATTTTTGAAAGTTACAAGGTCAAATATATAGGTCAAATATTTTTACATTGAAAATGGCCAGGTTGGTTACGTTGCCTTTGAGAGCGTATGGTAGCCCAGGAATGAGAATTACCCCCATGATGGCATACCATTTGCAAAAGAAGACAACCAAAGGTATTGCAAATGGGGTATGTCCAGTCTTTTTTAGTAACCACTTAGTCACAAACACTGGCCAAAATTAGCGTTCAATTTAGTTTTTTTACTTTTTTCACACGCAAACAAATATGAATGCTTACTTTGGCCAGTGTTTTCGACTAAGTGGCTACTAAAAAAGACTGGACATACCCCATATTGAATACCCTGGGTTGTCTACTTTAAAAAAAATATGTACATGTGGGTGTTATTCAGAGATTTATGACAGATAATAGTGTTACAATGTCACTATTGATAAATTTTAAAAATGTATGTTTTGAAACCACAATATCCTACTTGTACTTACAAAAAAAAATTGCAAAAAAGCACGTAAACACTGGGTATTTTTAAACTCAGGACAACATTTTGAATCTATTTAGCAGTTTTTTCATTAGCTTTTGAGTAAAGGTGAGTAAAAGATGTGTAGAGATGTGTTAATGGCTGAACATGATAGATCTCAGGTTTTTCTTCGAACCTTGATTACTATGTAACTCTCTACCTTGTTGGTCATATTGCATCAATGTTAACAGTGACATAGTTACATAGGCTGAAAAGAGACATGTGTCCATCAAATTCAGCCTTTCTCACATATGTTTTTGCTGTTGATCCAAATGCAGGTAGAAAACCCAGTTTGAGGTGCTTCCAATTGTGCAACAAACTAGGAAAAAATTCCTTCCTGACCCCAGAATTGCAGTCAGATATCTCCTTGGATCACAGCAGTTGGAGCTTTGTTAGCATTGATGTTTGTGAATATTTTTTCAGGGTTTGAGACACTAAGGTTTAGGACTGAACATATTTCTAGCTGAACAGTTTATTATCATTATTGTCACTTTATGACGTGTTTACATGAAATATATTGCAGATCGGTCTCTGATAAATTGGAGTTAAAGAGACACTGTAGTCACCAAAACAACTTTAGCTTAATTAAGTGGTTTTTGTGTATATATCATGCATTTGCAGTTTCACTGTTCAATTCTCTGCCATTTAGGAGTTAAATCTCTTTGTTTTTGCAGTCTTTATCACACCTCCCTGCAGGTGACTTACACAGCATTCCTAAGCACTTCCTGTAAAGTGAGATCTAATGTTTACACTTTCCTTTATTGTAAATATTGTTTAATTTTGAATGTCTTATCCCTGCTATGTTAATAGCTTGTTAGACCCTGCAGGATCCTCTTGTATGTAATTAAAGTTCAATTTACAGAGCAGGTGACAAAAACTTTTTAAATAAGTTTACATCTGATTGAAATAATAAAAAAAAATTCTTGCAGACTGTGTCAGTCACAGAAACAAAAATGATTTAACTCCTAAATGGTAGAGAATTGAGCAGTGAGACTTCAGAGGCATTATCGATACACCAAAACCATTTAATTAACCTAAAGTTGTTTTGGTGATTATAGTGTCCCTTTAAGTTGATCTTCCCCACTGTAATAATTCAGGCTGAGCATATTTACCTGTCAGGTCTGTTGCAGTTTTTAGAATATTTTTGTATGTATCAGCTTCATG